AAATAAAATAAAATTGCATTATTCGACCTCTGCAGTTGTTCAATTAACAATGGGCATAATTTGTATTTTATCATTTGTTTTGCATTAATTAATTAAAATTTGGAATGACATTTATAACTATTATCAATCATTAATAAATCTCAATTAAAAATTTGCTTTATTCATTATTAGGTCTCTATAATTATTTCATTAACAACAGCAAAAATTCATATTTAATTAATTAAAGTTCAGAGTTATATTGATAATTGTTATCTACTATTAATAATTCCCAGGGGTTTTTTAAATAAATTTGATTTATTTATTAGTAGATCCATACAATTATTTCATTAGCAATGGATAAAATTCAAATTTTGTTACTTAGTAGTAATTAATTAAAATTCAGAATTACATTTATAATTATTATCAATCATTAATAAATCTAAATTTTTAAAAAATAAAGTTGCTTTATTCATTATTAGATCTCTATAATTATTTTATTAGCAACGGACGCAATATTTTATTAGTTATCATTAATTAATTAAAATTGAAGATGACATTTATAGTTGTTATCAATTATTAATAATTCCGAATTTTTAAAAAATAAAATTGATTCATTAATTAATTATTTTATTTGTAATTGAGAAAATTAATATTTATTTAATCAAAATTCGGAATTATATTTATAATTATTATTAGTTACTAATTAACCAAAATTTTTTCCCCATTCCAGGCGAAGAAAACGGTGAAGAAACGAATCCTGAACCCCAAAAAAACCCCAACCAGCACCAAGTAAGAGCTGCACTCACTAATTAACCCTAATTAACCCTAATTAACCCTAATTAATGCAAATTGGGACCCTCAGGGGCTCAACCCTCGGGGTTCAATAATTACTAATTAAAATTAAATTGAATTTTTTTTTTTTTTTTAATTTTTCCAGGAAAGTTCTGAGCACCAAGAGCCCCAAAACCCTGACAGGTGAGGCTGAGATTAATTAATTAATAACCGATTAATTCTCTCATTAGTTATTGATTAAATTACTTAAATAATTGGCTTAACGAATTTTCATTTTCTTGGATTAAAAATCCCTGAATTTCCCCCATTCCTGAGATCCTTTTGGGGATTCATTAATTCCAAATTTTGGGGATTAATTAAAATTTTGGGGATTAATTAATTCCAGTTTTGGGGATTAATTAATTTTAATTTTGGGCATTAATTCCAATTTTGGGATTAATTAATTCCAATTTTGGGGATTAATTAATTCCACACTTGAGGATTAATTAATTCTAAACTTGGGGATTAATTAATTCCAAATTTGAGGATTAATTCCAATTTTGGAGATTAATTAATTCTAAAGTTGGGGATTAATTTATTCCAATTTTGGGGATTTATTAATTCTAATTTGGGAGATTAATTAATTCCAATTTTGGGATTATTTCCCCTAAAATCTTGAATTTTTCCCTCCAAATCCCCTTTTTTCCCCAAAAAATTCCTCATTTTTTTTCCCCTAAAAATTTCTCCATATTCTCTTAAAAAATTCCTTTTTTTTTCCCCTCCCCAAAATTCAACTTTTCCCAAAAATCCTCCTAAAATCCACCTTTTTTTCACCTAAAAATCCTGATTTTTTTCCCCCAAATTCCCCTAGAATTATTTCCAATTTTAGGATAATTTATCTTCCCCCAAAAAATCCAAATTTTTTCCCCAAAAATTCCTCATTTTCCTCCCAAAAATTCTTTTTTTTCCCCCCAAATTCCTCCCTCTTTTCCCTAAAAAATTTTGTTATTTTTTCCCAAAAATTCATTTTTTTTCCCCAAAACTCAAAATTCTTTTAAAATCCCCTTTTTTTCACCTAAAATTCCACATTTTTCTCCAAAATTCTCTTTTTCCCCTCAAAATTCCCCTGGAATTAATTGAAATTTTGAGGTTTTTTTACCCCCAAAAATTCCAATTTTTTTCCCCAAAAATTCCTCCTTTTCTTCCCAAAAATTCTTTTTTTCCCCAAAAATCTTTCTAAAATCCACTTTTTTTTCACCTAAAAATCCACGTTTTTCCCCCAAATTCCCTGGAATTAATTTAAATTTTGGGATTTTTCATCCTAAAAAAATCCAAATTTCTTCCCCAAAATCCAAATTTTATCCCAAAAATTCCTCTTTTTTTTCTCCCCTCCAAATTCCCCTGGAATTAATTTAAATGTTGGGATTTTTTTTTTTACCTGAAAAAAAATCTGAAATTCTCATTTTTTTTTATTTTTAAGGGAAAAAGGAGAAAGTGAAGAAAGCAACGGGAGAGAAGAAAGTGAAGAAAACCTCGAATGTGGGGGGTGAGGGGAAATGGGGAAAAAATGGGAAAA